TAAATATTACCTAGACGGTCGTAATTTGTCTGGGCCCTATAGCCTGGTGCCCTAAGGTTTGTCGGCTTTTGTTCAGTTTTATGACTTGCTAGTATATCTGGATTGTGGCTGTCTTGGACTAGTGGTTTCAGTTGAGAGGGGAGCTGCACAGATAGAGGAAGCTAAACAGGATTTCTTTCTGAAGCCTCAGAGAGGCTCTCAGAGGCCAGTTATTTTGCGGGTGCCCAGGTCCTAGATGACAGCCTAAATCCTGGGAGCAGGCCGGCCCACACCGCATCACTAGTGCCTTGGGGAGCGGTTAGGTGGATCCGGGCTGGGGTGCCCAGATCCGCTGGGGCCGCCCCCTCCCCCAGCACGGCCTCCCCCACCTGGCTGCCCTCGGCGGGCGACGCGTTTCCTGCTCGGCGGAGGTGGGGGGGAGCGCCGCTCGGGGGAGGGGGCGCTGGAGCGCGCGCCTCTGCCGGCGGGAGGCGAGGAGCGGGAGAGAGGGGAGCGAGCGGCCACGGGGAGCGAGCGCGGGAGGCCGCGGCCAGATACAGAGCCCGGCGAAGTCCCTGGCGCTTTTGAGTCTCCCAAGGCCGCCTCCGCTCCGCACGGGTTTGCTAGATCGCTGCGAGGTCCTGGGAACCGCACGCTGCTAGTTCTCTGCCCTCTTCTCGCGTACTCCCCTCTTCCTTTTTCCTCTTTTGCCTTCCTTCCTTCTCTCCTGCTCTCTCGCTCTCCTAGGCTTACCTTCCTGGGGGCCCGTGGCTTCTCCTCTCCTGACGGGCTTTCGGAGGCCTGGGCCATTTGGTGGCAGCGGCGGGCGCAGGTTGCCAGGGGGCAGGGCAGGGCACGATCTCAGGGTTCTTTCCTTGGCGGCGACCGTGGCGGCAGCAGTGGCGGCGGCGGCGGGCGAGGCAGCCCCGCGCGGGCAGCACCAGAACTGGTCGGTGATTTAGGTAGTTTCCTGTTGTTGGGATCCACCTTTCTCTCGACAGCACGACACTGCCTTCATTACTTCAGTTGAAATCGTCTCCAGGTACCTGTGCGCGCGGGGGCCGGGCCGGGCGGGGCATCAAGGAACTGGTCTTGCCAGGCCCGCGGTGGCAACCTCGGCTCTCCCTACGCAGGACGCTCTCAGCACCGTGTCAGCCAGCTGGCCTCCCCCCCTCTCCCACGGAGCTCGGTGCAGGTACCGTCAGGTTAACGGCTCCTCCGCAGACGCCGGGGGCGTGGTAAGAATTCTGCGCCCCGGGCCATTCAAGGTCAGGGGCGCTAGCTCCCATCAGGAGCTTCCCTACTGTAGCCCTGCGCCTGGCCGGCGTCCCCGCCATTCTCCTGCAGGGCTGGAACAAACACACACACCGATTTGGGGTGTGAGTTCAGGATAGACCCCTTTCCCTGTGGAGACCCGGGCCTTGATAGGAGGGACAGGGCAGGCAGGGACTGGGATCCTGGCCTCGTCACCCTTCTCTCTGCAAGGGTGCCCTCTGCTCCTGGGAATCTCCTCTGTCTCTTTTCTTCCCTCCTTCTTTCCTCTTTTATCCTTTCTTTCTTTGCCCCTTCCTTCTTTCTTTGCTTCCTTTTTTCTGTTTTTCTTTCATCTTTTGTCTCTGTCCCGATTGATTCTCTTTTTAGATCTCCTTCCCCCCTTTCCAGATCATCCTATTGGAAGGGGAAGAGGCTGGCACAGAGAAAGGCAGATGGTCTCCTTTTCCTCCTCGCCCTTAAGTTAAAGTCTGAGTCTGCCTGTGAAGAGTCTGCGTGGGGCGGCTGTCCAGGACGGTGGGGTTTGGCTTGCAGTGTCTCTGTGCAGACAAGGCCTCGGTTACGATCACGACCGGATGGCGGCAGCCTTGCGTCCCTTCTCCGCGGGTCGCTTGCGGCTGCCTGGGAGACGGGATTAGGGGGCACGGTGGTGTCTTTGTGTGCCCACACTGAGGGCAGGGGGACCTTTGTCAGCCTACTGGAAACAAGGTCGGAGGCCCAGCCAGGCTCTGTGGGGCGGGCCTGGCTACTCAGGGAGCTCCTCCTGGAAGCTCCTTGCGTGCTCTGCCAGGCCTGCCAGTCCTTACTTGGGTTTTGTTCACAACGAAGGAGCCTTGATAAGGCCAAGCTTGACTGTGTGCTTGGCAGTGGCATCAGGTTCCAGCGTGTTGGATATGGCCCTCTTGTACAGCTGTGTGCTGCAGAAAGGGACCTTTCCAAGAGCCAGTATTTCAAAAAGGTGAAGGAAACTCTAAATTCCAGAGTCACTGGGATGCAAGTTTGAGTCCTAGTTCTAAGTTGCAGTCTACTGATGGAAGCCAGCCTGACTATTCTCAAATACCAAAAACTGAAAACAAACTATCTGTCCCTTCCCCCAACATACACATAGACTTGCCTTCAGACCTTTGCCCGAAGAGCTGTGCTTCCCTTCCCAGCTCAGGCTGGGGGCTGGGAATTGTTTTCGTTGCTCAGCCCGCCAACCTGTTATCTGAAAGTCCGGCACACCCGGTTCCCTCGGACTCTTCTCTGCCATTTTCCGGACCAGAGTATTGAGTTTATTTTAGAGATCAAAGTTTTGAGAAAACTCTCAGTGAAGAAGGGGTGGCTTGCAATTACATCCATTTATTATTTCTTTATGCATGTACAATCCTTTTCACTTTCAAAATAAAAGCAGGCACAAAAGTCTGAATATTCTGGCTCCAAATCTCTTGGTTCCAGAGGGACGATATTTGGATTGGTGAATTTTCTCTGCTTCTACATAACAATAACAGCTGCTGAACACTCAATGCCTGTTAATTATTTAACAATATTCCTATTTTATTTGGGGGCTAGCGCTATTTAAAGGGACAGCCTTTGTATTTTAAAAAAATACTAAAAATAAGTTGTGTCTTCTCTGGGTACAAAAAGTGGAACAAGCAGCCAGGCATGGTTGGCCTGCTGTTTACAGACAATTACAATTAAGAGCGAAGTGTTCTTCCAGAGTTTATTTTTAAAATGAAAATCTCAGAGTCCCTGTGGATTGCCGGGACACCTTGGGCTTCGGTGGGGGTGGGGATGACGCTGAGGAATTTACTGGGAAAGAAAAATATTAGGGGGGAGGGGGGCTGAAGCTGCCAGGACAGGCCACGTCGGAGTTCATTGTGTCGGCCACTTTCCTCGGCGCCCGCCCGCCGCGCGGCGCACAGGCGGAGGAAGGAGCTCCGGACAGTATCGGAGTAGCTATGCAGCCTCTCTCGGGGTAGAGACTAACATTTTGGGGTCGCCGCCGCCGCCTAGAATAGGAATATTCCAGGATGTTTGGAAGGAGGGATTATTTAAGCTATTGGTGAGAATGAAGGCAAAAGGAGAGAGAGAGATGGAAATGACTGAGGCCGCTGGCCTTGCAGCCAGGAAAGTGGACTAATGAGAAACACACCCTTGCAGGCACAGTATTCACACGTGAATTTAATTACCCCGTTTCTAGGGCTTGGGGCTTTCTTTTCGGAATTGGGGTGGGTTTTCCCCCCCTTCCAATTAACAAAAATGGCTGCAGTTTTTTCATTTGCTCTTTCTCCCAGGGACTAAGGGATGAGAAATAACCACCCCAATTTGGCCAGGCCAAGCATGGGATTAAAGTCAATGGCCCCTGCTCCTCCCCGTTTTAATTTCTAGCCCTGGACTTGAGCAGCCACCACCTCGTTTTGGGCCTTGTAACTCTGTGAGTTACTCGGTTCCCTGCATAACCAAGGCATGCCCTGGGCAAACGGTGATCCAAGGATCCCTGCAGGGCTCACCCTGGGCCCTGGGCTGGCAGCTCCAGTGCAGGCTTCCCAGCCACTGGAACCACAGGCTCTCTTAGGCAGGGCTGCTTTTTAGCAAGCAGAATTCGCCTTCCGCTGATGCAGCCTGGAGGGTTTTTTGTATTATTTTACCAGCTTGGGTTCCAACAACCCGATGAGGCTTCCAGACTTCAGCATTAGGGTCTTCAAGGATGCATCACAGGGCTAGGTCGCTAAGCCGCCTCTGTCCAGGGATGGTGAATCCCAGCTGAGTAGGAGCAAGATGCGCCAGGCGAGACTGTGGGCCAGGACCGAGGGCATGGCACAACCAGATTCTCAAACCCTTCCCGCTGAAGGTATCTGGCTGCTCCCTCCGTTCCAGGTCCTCAGCGTTGCCCTCGCTTGAGAAACAAGGGCGACCTTCAGGCTTGTCTGGGTGCCCGGCTCTCTAGCACCGCAGGATCTGGGGCCCATACTAGGTGGTACCCCCTCGGTGACCAGTCCACCCGGTGCCCTGGCAAGAATGGTGGCTACTTTGGGACGGATATTGCGTTGAATTTGACTTTTCGTGGCCGGCGGGGGGGGGGGCGGTGCATCTGCAGAGGACCACAGGAATTATTTACAGGGAGTTCGCCAACCAAACACAACAGTCTAATTTAACCTTTCCAAGTACTCATAAATTTTTACAGCTGGGAGCCACGGCAAAGGCAAACGAATCTGTTGGTCGTTCCCGACTTCCCACCAGCCTGTGTGGCTTCTGAAACAATAACTCCTTATGAAATATCATAAATATAGATTTAAATACAGTAGAGCGAGAATGCGATTTGGCTGCTTTTTTATGGCTTCAATTATTGTCTAATTTTATATGAGGGGCTCCGTTGGCCGCAGTCGCACGCGGGACCCGCGCCTTCCTGATGGCGTGATTAATTATGATATAAAATAGTCCGCTTAAGAAGTGTGTCTGGTGGGGAGCAGGGGAGCGTCCAGAGGCAAAGCCAAATTTGATCTTTTAATCTTCGTTGGCCACAATTAAAACAAACTCTATCGTGGAACGGCGCGATCCCTTTGCATAAAAACATATGGCTTGTGCTATAAAAATTATGACTGCAAAACACCGGGCCATTAATAGCGTGCGGAGTGATTTACGCGTTATTGTTCTGCTGGGCGGACACGTGACGCGCGCGGCCAATGGGGGCGCGGGCGCCGGCAACTTATTAGGTGACTGTACTTCCCCCCCTGGTGCCACCAAGTTGTTACATGAAATCTGCAGTTTCATAATTTCCTCGGGTCGGGCCGGGCCGGCCAGGCGCGGGGCACGACAATGGCCACCACCGGGACCTTGGGCAACTACTACGTGGACTCGTTCCTGCTGGGCGCAGACGCCGCGGATGAGCTGAGCGCCGGCCGCTACGCACCGGGGGCCCTGGGCCAGCCTCCTCGGCAGGCGGCGGCACTGGCCGAGCACCCTGACTTCAGCCCGTGCAGCTTCCAGTCCAAGGCGGCGGTGTTCGGCGCCTCGTGGAACCCGGTGCACGCGGCGAGCGCCAATGCCGTGCCCACCGCAGTGTATCACCACCATCACCACCACCCCTACGTGCACCCCCAGGCGCCCGTGGCGGCGGCGGCGCCGGACGGCAGGTACATGCGCTCCTGGCTGGAGCCCACGCCCGGTGCGCTCTCCTTCGCGGGCTTGCCCTCCAGCCGGCCTTATGGCATTAAACCTGAACCGCTGTCGGCCAGAAGGGGTGACTGTCACACGCTTGACACTCACACTTTGTCCCTGACTGACTATGCTTGTGGTTCTCCTCCAGTTGATAGAGAAAAACAACCCAACGAAGGCGCCTTTTCCGAAAACAATGCTGAGAATGAGAGCGGCGGAGACAAGCCCTCCATCGATCCCAGTAAGTGTCTTCTCCCTCCAAACCAGCCGCCGCCTCCACGCCGGCCACCCGGATCTGCCGGCCCACCAGCTTTCTCTGGAGCCTGCCTTCGTCCTCGCTGGGAGCCTCCTGAGCTGGGGCCGAGTGCGAGTAGTTGGTGTTTGGGACACTTCAGCTAGGGCCCCCAAAGCCGGAGAACGGTGCCGAACAGGCCTGCAGGACTGGGGGAAGGGGAGGAGGCTGCTGCAGCGAGAGGGGGCGGGGCGGGCGCTGCCGACCGAGCAGAGACCCGCTGCCCCTCTCCTCGGCTGCCCCGGCTCCGGACAGAGATACTTGGGGCCTTTCTTCGAAAGCATCACAGCGGAGTCCTTTGTGCGCCTAGATTGTTTTCCAGCCGAGGCTTCAACGTTAGCTGGGGCAACTGACCCGGGACACTGGGGGAGACGCCGCCGATTCCCTCCACTTCTTGCCTTCAGCCGGTGGTGTAAATCCTCCCCGAGTCGAGGCTCCCGGCGATCGGGCTGCGAGGGTACCCTTGCCAGATTATTCAAATAAGCTGGAGACCCGATCAAAGGACTCAGGGCACCCTGCCAGCCCGCTTAGCTCCCACGGCCTTCTAGGAAGGTCAAATTAGAAGTGGAGAGAGTAAAGGGAAAGCTGGGGAAAGGAAGACACAGCCAGAGAGAAAAGCAGTGCTAATCTTGCTACAGGAACCTAGGGCAGATTGGTTTCCCTCTGCTTGCCACAAAGGAGATGTGTTTACAAATCTCACTCTTCCCACAATGTGAAAAGAATGGGAAGAAGGACCGGAGGGGACAGAAAGACAGAGGAGGAGAAAGGGCAGGTTAGGGGTGTGGGGGGGTCACTGCGTGCAATTGTAAGTGACCGTCCATGCGTCTGTCTGCTAGGGTTCCATTGTGTCCAAGGCTGGGCTCCCTTCCCCAACCAATTGAATGGCAACTTGCATTGTGGTCGGAGACCCCAGCAGGCTCCCTCAAATCCAGCTAAGGTGCGTCTCCTCCTTCTAAACCCAGTGTCTCTCTCCCTGCAGATAACCCGGCAGCCAACTGGCTCCACGCGCGCTCCACTCGGAAGAAGCGCTGCCCCTATACCAAACACCAGACGCTGGAACTGGAGAAAGAGTTTCTGTTCAACATGTACCTCACCAGGGACCGCAGGTACGAGGTGGCCCGACTGCTCAACCTCACTGAGAGGCAGGTCAAGATCTGGTTCCAGAACCGGAGGATGAAAATGAAGAAAATCAACAAGGACAGAGCAAAAGACGAGTGATGCCATTCAGGTTCATTCCTAAAAGAGAGCAAGCTAGGGAGAAAAAGAAAGGACTGCCTGTCCCCTTCTCCCTTCTCTCACCACACTGTACCTCCGCCACCCACACAAAGCAGCTCTAAACCCCAGGCCTCATCTCCCCCCTGGCAAACCCTGCTCAGGCTGGCTCCTAGGTCTGGGGCTTTGATGGAGGAGGTATTGTAAGCTTTCCATTTTCTATAACTACAAAAAAAAAACAAAAAAAGGGCATTAGCGCTGATGGCTGTGTGTGCTAGCTTGTATATATTTTTAAAAATCTACCTGTTCCTGACTTAAAAGAAAAAAAACTACCTTTTTATAATGCACAACTGTTGATGGCGGGCTGTATAGTTTTTAGTCTGTGTAGTTAATTTAATTTGCTCTTTGTGTGGCAGCGTGATCTGCTGAGATACTTGAACACTGTGTTTTATTGTGGTAATTATGTTTTGTGACTCAAACTTCTGTGCTGGGTGACGCACCCGTTGTGATTGTGAAAGCTAGAATTCAATTTGAACTCAGGTTGTTTATGAGGGGAAAAACAGTTGCATAGAGTATAGCTCTGTAGTGGGATACGTCTTCTGTATAACTAGGCTGTTAACCTATGATTGTAAACTAGCTGTAAGGATTTCCCAGTGAAATAAAATTTTTTAAAGGGAGAGGGGTTCTCCTGGATGCATAGGCTTATGATTTTTCCACTTTTGAAATGCAAGCATTTTAGTCTTTATGTGCTCTAGAGTCCTTTCTTGCCCATTGTATATATAATCTATATATTGAAGAAAAAGCTCATAATCAGAGAAGCTTGAATATTGTTTTTGCACCAGAGAAACAGTGAGAAAATTCGGAGCTATACATATGTGCAGAAGGTTACTACCTATGGTTTATGCTTAATTTTAATTGGGGGAAATGAACGCTTATTGTAATGGAGTCAATTTTATTGTTAATAAATTGTACACCACGAAACCGCCATTGGGCTACTGTAGATTTGTATTCTTGAATCTCGGGTTTCCATCTGGCTGAACATACACTGTATATTTTGCAATAGTTACCTCAAGGCCTACTGACCAAATTGTTGTGATGAGATATTTAACTTTTTGCCAAATAAAATATATTGATTCTTTTCTATCTTTTGCCGGTCTCCTTTTTGCGCCTTCTTCTCCAGGGCCCGGGAACCTGGGTAGTCTCTGGATGGGGGGAGGACCAAGGCGGGGTGGGGGCAATTGTACCTCAGGGGGACTTCTGGAAGCAGCCGGCATTTGCCCCAGCCGGTCCAGGCCTGTTTAAGCTCTCCCTGCACGGCTAGGGCCTTGGAAGCGCAAGCAGCAAGGGAAAGCTGGGAAAGCGGGCGGCGGGGCAGGCTCCCGGCCTTGTGTCCTTTTGCGGGTCTGTGGAAAAGCCTCGGAGCACTGCGCTGGGTCCCGTGTATAGCTAGCCAGCAGCAGTGCAAAGGCTGCTCTCGTCTTGGTGCCCCCAAGAAATTCCCCAAATCCCAGCCCACAGAGACACCCGAGGCCTTTCCTAGCAAAATGGGGATGTTGGGGGCACAGGACCTGGAGCTGAGGGCCTATCTCCTAAAGAGACTCGGAGAAGAGACTCAGGAGCCGGATCACCCCAACCCGGCCGCCGGTGCAGACGCTGGGGGGCTTGCAGGGGACCAAAGGCCTATGCCACGACACTCCGGCCTCCTGCCCGCCTGGCCCCGGTGAATCTGCATCCTGTACCAAAAACCCCTCCCGAACCCAAGTCCTGACAGAGGCCGGGCTGAGGCAACCAACGAGCCCCGATGCGCCATAAAAGAAAATGAGGGCTGTTACTGTTTATGGGGTGTAAAGGGCTTCGAGGGAACTGGCAGAGCGCCTTCCAGATGTGGCGGAGGAATTTGGCCTCACCCCCTTCCTTCTCTCGCTCTGCCCCCCACCCCACCCCTTGACTCCTGCAAAGTTGACTGTGTTCAAACGCGTGAAAGGGGAATCAGGGCGCGGGTGGATGGGGCGTCTCCACCCCACCCCCACCGTGTCGCCAGGTTGGGACCCCCTCTGTGGTTGCAGACAGAAGGAACTTCAAAGAATGAGTAGTAAGGGTGTGCCATAAAGGCTGGGTCTGCGAACTGTCTGGAATTCGCCCCTTAATGAGTTTACAACTGTCCAGCCCCAATTAGGATATTCCACCAAAGCCCTTTCATTTGTTTGCTCTGTCTGCTGACGATAAAGCAGCTGCGGAAACAGCTTTCTTTTATGGGCATTGTCCCCTCCGCAGCTAGATTCCGGGCCCCAAGCGGACCCCGGGGAAGGGGCCCTCCCCCCGCCTTTGGGAAGGAGGACGCTGTGAGCACCGCTGCGCCGCGGCTGTCGAAGTTCAGGCGTCCTGGGGCTGTTGGTACTGCAGTGCGAAAGGGAGACCAGCAGATGGCAGTGTGGCTCCACCAAAGAGGTGCTCTCGCCGCCATCTCCCGCCGCCACGATCCTGGGAAGTTCCTAAGATGTCGACTTGACTCGAGCCTTTCTGGAATTGGAGCCCCAGATTTGAGTGAACAGCAGTCGTATATTTTCCGTGCTGTTCAAGCCAGGCTGGAAGCCTCCTTGGGATACAAGCGTGCGTCGGGGGCTTGCCTGATTCTCACTGCTCGCCCCTTCCAGGGCCCATCCCCAGGGCGCAGAGCTGCTGGGCTGCAGCCGTTCGCGAGACTGCCGGGCTGGTGGCTCCAGGCGCGGAGACGGCTCCCGGGTCATCTCAGTCCAACACAGGCCTCGGGGCAGCGAGGACATGCGGGCGAAGCCAACAGACCCCGTACCTGATGACCCTACAGAGAGCGTGGAGAGGGCTCACGCAGTGGTCACAGGTTCCGCGGCACCCCGGAGGTCCCTGAAACCTGCGCCTTGGTTCGGGGCCTGGGACAAGACCCGGCGAACCAGCACCAGAGAAAGCCAGGACCCCGGAATTCGACCGGTTTGAATATGTGGCAATAAGATTAGACAAGTGAAAACTGGGCATAAAGCCACCCTCCGTAGTATAGGTCTCCAGGGAGTTGGCTGGCATGGGGAATCTCTGGGACAGACCAGGAAGTGTTTGGTTATTCTAAATTAAATGTGATGCTTAAAATAACAATCATAACATCACCTTAACTCTGGAATTGGCGCTCACGCCGTGGAAGTCGCTCATACCTTCTTTGGCTGCGGCATTTCCTTGGCTTGGAGGTGCCAAGACTGCTCAGTCATCCCCGCTGAGGAGGCAGCAGGAAAGGGACCCCGTTCAAGCTGCTCAGCCTCTCCCCGTTCTTAAGTGGGGAACGCACTCGGGAGCCTCTGCAAAGGTGCCTCGGAGCCCGGTGCGAGGATCTGCCACGGGCATAGAATGGCTTCGAAGGGAAACACAAAAGCAAACACAGAACCCTTCCAGTCACCTCGGAGCCCTGTGAACGTGCCGCACGGTGCATTTATTTAGTCGTAATAGTCTCCGCCAAGCCCGCAAAATGTGTATGACCTGCACCTCCACGTAGAACGTGCTGTAAAACTGGGAACAGGATTTTGGCTGACATCTCTCCTGGGTGTTGGCTAGCGCGCTCTCTCTCTCCTTTTTTCTCTGTCTATATACACAGGTTGGCATTACAAACACATCTTCATTATATTTCCCTATATAATTCACACTAAACCATCTGATTGTAAGAAGGGTTTTTATTGCTTTCCGGAGACTCACCATGGCTTTGTATCCAAAGTCAGAAAACTGTTTGTGTAATAACAAATATACGCAGAGATCAATCAGTGGGTGCAGATAAAAAGCTCAATTTCTGTAACTACAAATAAACGAAATCTCAGATTGGTGGTGACCGCTTCTCTCCACCGATCACAGAGGCGCCAGGTAGGTACAGTCGCCCAGAGTCTCAGAGGCCTTGTGAACTGCCGGGCTGGCAGGGCCTCCCTTGCCCTTGGCCGGCTGGCGGCTGGGAGGCTGCTCTCCCGCTCCTCTGCCAGAGAGCAGCTTCCCCCCGGCGGCCGCCCTCCGTCCAGGCCAGACCCCGCTCAGCTGCTCCGGCCAAACTCATTCACTTGTGTCGGGGGTGGGTTGGTCCACCAGCCCAGGCCATGCACCGCGCCCAGCTCACTTGGTGGAGAGCAGACACGCAGCCCGTGCGAGGGGCGGGCGGGTGGAAACATTTGGAGAAGCAAACCGCCGGGTAGCCCAGCAGGCACCATTAGCTGCCAGAAAGCTGAGTTTAAAATCTTAACTGGATTTAAATATTGCAGACTGTTTGGTAACAGTAATCAGAGGAAACACTCTCTAGCAATGAGCGAGAGGCAAGCTCCAGGAGAGCACTGGGAAATGTCTATCTGAAGACCACTTGGCTGATTAGAAGCTGGCCGACCTATCCCTGCTCCAGCTTGTGCAACAACGAATATTTCTTTGAATATTATCACACATAACCCAGTACCTTTTTGTCTTTTCAGTCAAATAAGTAAGGAACCAATAGCTCAGAAGCACATGATTAAATAGGCTTTATTGAAAGCCTGGTATTTCTTGGGCCTTTTTATTTTAAAATCCAACCACAGGAGACAGGAAGGGAGAATCCCAGAAACGAAAGGGGGGTTTTGGTGCCCGCAGGACTTGGCCCAGTTGGCTGACTTTGGCCCAGAGGTGCCGAGGCCTTGCGGCCAGAATCTGGATCCTCCTTGGCTGGGGTATAGGGGCAGAGCGTCCTGCCAAGACCGCTTGGACACCAGCCCCACCGAATCCGGGGAAGAGATGATCCTGCTGCAGTGCCTAGCCCTCCCTTGGTGGTGAAGTGCGTACCTGCCTCCCCCCCCCCCCCCCCCAAACCACTCCCCACTCGGGCTGTCTGGTTGCCTTGCTTGGGACAGGTTCTACTTTAAACGCAGTTGGCCACTGCAGCCGCCTGAGTCTAGACAGAAGGCGGCAGCTTGGCCCAGGTCTTTCTCTTTGCGTCTTGGTCTGTGTCACCAGAGGAAAAATTTATTGGTCTAAAGCCATCTAATTCTGCCTCTTTGATCTATCCTTCATCTTGTTTCCTGCATCTTTTTTTAACTTTCTTAGGTTTTTATTTCCCTGTCAGAAGGCAATGTTATTTGGATTTTTTTTCCTGGTTTATCCCCTCCATTCTGGGTCTGAGATTCAGTAGCATCCTGATCGACCATAAAAGGCATCCCAGACATTGCCCCTCCCCTGCCCCACCAGATCCCTGTATCCCTGAAGTACACACCCCAGTGCCCACCTGCCCCCACCTCCCAACCAAAGGCCGAGCCCTTTACTAGGTATAAGCTGGGGCTCCTTGGCAATTTGATTTAAATCATCCTTCCTCTTTTGTGTTCCCAGGACCCCCTGAGAAGGTGCAGTGAACAAGGGGTAGCCTGGACCCTCTGAAAGTGAAGAGGAGTCCTTTGTACACGAGGAACCAAAGTCTATAATTTAGAGGAGAATTTCCGGGGCAATTCCATTGTGAGATTGGGTTTATGGTGTGCAATCGAGCTGGGCAGTAAAAGGTGGCCAGGCTTCCAGCGAGGCCTGGGCAGTTTATGAGGCGTTTAGGGAGAGGGTTCACCCTATCATCCTTCACAGAATGGTTGGTAGCAGGGGCTCAGTTGGCCGAAAGCTGCAACAGGGGTCGGAGGCCTGGGAAGGTAGGTGATATATGGTGGGGGATCTGGATGGAAGGGAGTGAGATCACTGGCACTCAGCTGTGTGCTGATACTTGGAAAGACGGAGCTGCCAGAGCTGGGTGGCCTTGGGTAGGGCTCCCTTATATTTGGTGTCTCCAAAAGATATGCAGATCTGCAAGGGGCTGCAGTCACCAGGTACCCAGATCCCCTCTTTCCATTCTAATTCAGCTCTAAAGCTTCAATTGCTCCCAGACACTGAGACTCACAAGGTGGGAGTCCAGGAATGGCTGGGGTGAAAGCTGCTAGAAACCTCACAGGAATTGGGGGTGGATGGAAAGGTGCAGAGCCTGAGGTTCCTTCATGCTGAGTGTGTGGGGGCACAGAGGGGCCCCCCTGAGCAGAGGGGAGCCAGGGGATATGAGTAGGACAAAGAACTGTTAAGCCATTTATTGAGCTATGAGAGGACAGCCAGGTGCCCAGAAGTGAATGCACAGAGCCTCCAGAGCTGCGGTGTCCGGTAGGAGGCACGGGGAACCCCATGTTAATAAATCTGTTGGCAAATGAGGCTCATTAATAGATAAATATTTCACTACTTCCTTTAGGGCGGATAAACAGTGAGCTGACCATTACAAAAAGGAAGCTGGGAGACACTGACTTTATTCGAACCACATGGTTCCAGTTTGCGGTGGCGTTCCGGCTACTTACTGCTAGAAGCGACGCTGCCCCTGCCCCGTCTGGCTCGGAGTCTAAGTCTGGCCTTTGGCCCACTGGACCCGACAGAGACGCGGGCAAGGAGTAGATCTGCCCAGAGTCCAGACCTGCCAACAAGGCCATAGGGAGGGCGGGCGCATGGGGTGCAGAGACCCGCCGGGGGCTGCGTCAGCAGACAGGACACGGACAGGGAGGATCTGCCTGCCTACTCTGGGGCTCACTACTAGGTCTGGGGAGCTGTTCTGGGCCAAACCTGGTGGGCACCCGCTGGCTCCGGGCCGGCTTGGAGGCCAGCCGAGGATCCCGCCCGCGGAGCGCCGGTCCTTTCCACAGGGCCAGCCGGGCCGCCGGGCGCGGGCGGACTCGGTGGCCGCGTATCTGAGCCTCCTCTGCTTCCATTCTAGGCGGCCGCGGGCCCCGCCGAGCGAGACCACCTGTGAGGGCGGCAGAGATTGGCGGAGGCGGTCATGTGGGCGGTCACGTGCTGCGGCGAGCTCCGTCCAAAAGAAAATGGGGTTTGGTGTAAATCTGGGGGTGTAATGTTATCATATATCACGCTACCTCGTAAAACCGACACTGAAAGCTGCCGGACAACAAATCACAGGTCAAAATTATGAGTTCTTCGTATTATGTGAACGCGCTTTTTAGCAAATATACGGCGGGGGCTTCTCTGTTCCAAAATGCCGAGCCGACTTCTTGCTCCTTTGCGCCCAACTCGCAGAGAAGCGGCTACGGGGCGGGCGCCGGCGCCTTCGCCTCGACCGTACCGGGCTTGTACAATGTCAACAGCCCCCTCTATCAGAGCCCCTTCGCGTCGGGCTACGGCCTGGGCCCCGACGCCTACGGCAACCTGCCCTGCGCCTCCTACGACCAAAACATCCCCGGGTTCTGCAGTGACCTCGCCAAAGGCGCCTGCGACAAGGCGGACGAGGGCGCGCTGCACGGCCCGGCAGAGGCCAATTTCCGCATCTACCCCTGGATGCGGTCTTCAGGTAGGCGCAGCCGCTAGGCGGTCGGGTGGGTCCGGCGGGCGGAGCGGGAGCCGGAGCGCGGCGCTGGGGCGCAGGGCCCGGGAGAGCTGAGCCGGGCGGCTGCAGCCCGCGGCCCCCGTGACTCCTGGCGGCGCTGCCTTTCTGGTTTTAATTAGAGCTGAGGCGCCATTGCGTGGAGAGCTCATAGCATTGTATGTAAATGAGGCTCATAAAACTTTTTATGGCCCAATTAATGGTTTCAATCCTCGTAAATTTAGTTAACTCCATTTGCCTCGGAATTTTAACATTAAGTTTTTCCCTATTCTCTCTCCCTGTCTCCTTTCTTTCTCCTTCTCCCTCTTTTCCTTTCAGCCTGGCTTTTCTTTCTCAAAAGCGGAGAGAGCCAAACCCTCTGGGGCCCCTCACCCACCCCTGTGCCAGGGGCCATTTGAAGACGGGAGAGAAGGGGACCGAGGGTCGGAGTGCCCTAGGAAGGTCCCGGGGATGGAGTCCATAGCTGATGGGGAGAGTTGCCCACTCGTCTGGGAAAGCTGGGGAATGGCTAAGCTCCCTTTGAATGCAAAAGTGCAGCGTCTCCCACTTGCCCACACTCTATATTTACAATTTCCCTTTGTCAGGGAGGAAGCAGGACATTGTGGAAGCGTAGCCGGCTGGAAAGGTCGGTTGGTTGTAAAGTTGGAGTTCTGCGCCTTCCCTTCTTACAGAGCTGCCTGCCGTCTGGCCGAGGTTGGGGTCTTCCGATAACACTGCCTCCTTCTACCTCCAACTCTGGTCGGAATTTTGGGGCAGAGGGAAGCCATGCGCCTAGGTATGGGCGGGGAAGAAAATGCACCCTCTGGACAGTGGCCTGGCTAATGCACTGTTCTCTCCGTGTCCCTGTCTGCTTGTCTATCCGTATGTCCATGTGTCTGCATTTCTATTCTCAGGACCAGACAGGAAGCGAGGCCGCCAGACCTACACGCGCTACCAGACCCTGGAGCTGGAGAAGGAGTTCCACTTCAACCGCTACCTGACACGGCGCCGCCGCATTGAGATCGCCCACGCGCTCTGCCTCACTGAGCGCCAGATCAAGATCTGGTTCCAGAACCGCCGCATGAAGTGGAAGAAAGAGCATAAGGAAGAGGGTTCCACCCCTACCACAGCCCCAGAGGGTGCGGTGCCCTCTGCAGCCGCTGCTACTTCAGCCAAGGCCGAGGAGGAGGAGGAGGAGGAGGAAGAGGAGGAAGAGGAGGAAGAGGAGGAATGAGGGGCCAAGCCAGGGCCCTGTCTTCATCGGACAGTTGGAGAGGCGTCTTTAAGAGACTGGCTGGTTTTATTTACAAAAATGGGGGGAAAATAAAAGAAAATGTAAAAAAAAAACAAAAGGGAAAACACCCCAACTCCCAACAGCACCCACCCACCTCACCACCTGATGTAGCTCCCAAATTTCTGGACTGAGAGGCTATGAAGACTAGGTCACCTTCGAATCCCCTTTCCCTCTGAGGAGTCCAATAGACACCCCTAACCCCAGGCCAGCGCTCTGCATCGGCCATGGCCAAAATACTACCTAGCACAGGCCTCCTTGAGGGGCACCCCCAAACTACCTATGGGCCCAGCCACAGTGGACCTCCACTCCCAGGAAGCCTCCTGGTGTCCCAACACTGGCAGACACCCAGCACTATACCCCATACCTACAGAAACTCGATTCTTTCAGTACTACCTATTAGCCCCAAACTACCTATTTGTGCTGGCTAGCTTGTCTGCTACTTAGTGTTGGCGTCCCCCCACCCCAGTACAGGCCCTTATTGCTTCCAACAGACAGCCTTTGGGGTCCCCAAGGCGTCACTGGGAAGGCACTGAGGTCCTGGGATCAGGGCATTGGCTTCTATTTAAATTGAAAAATAATATATTTATTCCAAAGCATACTAAGTGCTGCAACCTAGAATCCCTCTTTCTCTGGCTTGGACACCCCAAGTTCAGGCCCATCACCCCCTACTTTTGGAGGGGAGTATTCCTGAGCGGGGTGCAAACCTCTGGGTTAGCTTCTGCTTTGTAGGACTGTGGAGATGCTCCCAGCATCATTGTCTTCTACCCTGGCTCTTGTGTCCTACTGTTTAGCCATGTCAAATACGTACACCCTCACTTTTCCTACAATGGCAAATACTGTATATTTGAATGAAATTTTTTGGTCATTTCTATAGTCTTGGAGCTCATTTGTAAAGAAATGTCTTGACTTGGGAAGGATATGTTAATGGGGTGACCTTATAGCATGGTGTGTTGTCTTGAACTAACTCTGTAGTGGGCAGGGAGGTCTAATTCCCTCCCCAATGTCCTTCATCTCCTGTATTGTTCTGTGTCCCCTAAGCTCCAGCCTGGTGTTCAGGGAAGGAACTGTTCCCAGCCCAGCTAACCATGTTTTATGTAAGAAAAATAAAGATGCTTGGTCACAAAGAAAAATGGAGTGCTTTATCCAGAGGGGATGGGTAAAGGGAGGTGGCCAGAGCCGAAGGGAAGTCCTGGCTATGTGTGTGTGCTCAAAGGGGCAGTTGGGAAGCAAGTGGAGGAATCTTCTTGGCTCCACGCATTGGTTGTCCATGTATTAGTGTATAGGCACAATATGTCTCCTTTTATATTCCATGTGTGGATTTGTACAGGTACGTATGTGCCTGTTTTCTATGTGTATGCTTGGGTGTATATTTTTGCTCTATTTCAATATTGTGTATATATCTATGTACATAAATGTGTGTTTATCTCCATGACCATAATTGGGTGCATGTTTTTCTGTGTGTGCACGATTGCATATTTTCTGCGTCTATAATTGAGTGTACCTATTTCCCTGTATCCATAATTTTATGGATATTTTTATCTGGTTTCTGTGTGTGTGTGTGTGTGTGTGTGTGTGTGTAAATATCTAGATTCCTTGAAAATGGAATCTTTGGTAGATACATTATACTTTATAAACCTCATAAAAACCTCCATAAATTCCAGGAGTGAATTCCAAATCCACCCTTTGCTCTAAGATTGGTGAGTGGGCTCTGAAGGAGATACTACCTAAGCCGTGGCAACAGATCCCGGATTCCGAATGCACCCTGAACTCAGTCTCAGGCTAGAAAATGGGATTCAGGGAACCCCCACCTCAGCTCACTCTGCCTTCAGGCGAGGCGAGGGCGCCCCAGCACCGCAGCAAAGGGGCTCAGGGAGGGGCAAAAGCCCGCAGACCTCGCGCAGCCTCGTCGGGCATCTGGGTGCGAGAAGACCAGGGGGCTGGGGAAGGGGCAAAGGGCTAGGGGACGTGGGGCCAAAGCCGAACATCCTGAGCGTTGCCAGTGATGATCTCCGCTCCTATCTCCTGCCTGGGTTGGGCCAGCTTCTTGGGCTCTTTTTATAAAACCCAGCCCAAAAGGGTCTGTAAAACCTGCAGCCCAAGTCAGGGCAGCTTCGGTGGTAAGATGGCGCCGGTGTAAGAGCTGCCTCCTCTTAGTGATGGGGAAAGGGTCATAAATCCGTTGTTGTTTATGAAAATTTACAACTTTGCAATACAACTTTATGAGTTGTTCGGCCCTTCCATTGGCCGCTGTCGGTCATGTGGATGAGAACCGTGAACATGAACTTTTTTATAATTTCCCTTGCGAGAATAGAGCCGCATTCTTTTGCTCCGCTCCATCCTGCCTGCTTCGGAGCTCTGCCTTTCCAGCCCGGCTGGGCTGCGCTTTGTCCGCCGATGGCCAGCGAGGGGAAGCCCCGGCCAGGCCCGGCCCGGCCGCTCCCGCGGGAGGTGGAGCGCGCCCAGTTCCCGGCGCCGCGGCAGCCGCTTTGCAACTCTCAACCTGGCTAATATCCTGCGTCCTCTGGCACCAGGAAGAAGGACAATTCGTCTCCAGGCTGCCCGAGCGACAGCTGTCAGAGGAGCAGGAGCTTCTGGAAGCCGCCATCTGAAGGTGAGACATGTGGGAAAGAGACAGGAGCAAAGGTGGTGAGGTGCCACGGCGGTGGGAGAAGGCAACCAGGGCGGCTTTGAACAGGGACCACTCGTCATACCCCACCCGCATCACGGCCGCCCGGTCCACCCCACGGCCCACACAAACACTCACAAAGGCCACCACCACCTCCCCAACTCCCCCACACCCAGCCGCCCCCCCCCCCCCCCCGTCCCTCCCTCTCCTCCCGGGATCACCGGGGCAGAAAGTGCTCTGCCCGTCTTCTCTCAGCGGCACAGCGCCCTGGCACTGGCAGTAGCGCTTGGGTCTTCTCCCTCCCCTTCCCCAGCCACCCCGGGAAGCATAAAAGAAAGTGATCCTGCACTCTGCATTCCTGCCAACCTCAGAGTTTGGCTTTTTGGGGGTTTACTTGTTTGGGGGTTTGGTTTGGTTTGTTTTTTTCATTCATGGCCCAATGGGCTCTACTGAATTCCCCAACAACGGGAGAGAGCTCCAAGCTGGGGAGGTGAGAAGAGCTGAGGGCAGAAGTGAGTTAACCCACAGGCGTTTTATTAGCATTAACACCGCACCTTCTATTCCCTGGGAGCTGGGTTCAGAGAGAAAGGTAGAATGGGGGAGACAAACAACCAAAAAACTTACTAATTCAGCCAGAGTTCTTTGCTGATTGCTTGCTCCTCTGAGCCCGGTTTTCCGATGAGAGGGATGTCTGCAGCGCTGGGAGAAGGGAAGAGGTGCAGGGATGGAATTCTGTGTTGGAGGAGAGGACGGGGTTAATTGTCAGGATGTCACTTGGTGGGATGTTTTGGTGCGGAGAGCATTTCGGCATGACTGAGGTGGCAGGGGCCAGCAGCTGAGGACGAAAGAAGGACGTAGACCGATTCTGGGCAACAGGGGGACCCCCTACAACCCACCTCGGCACACTGGGCTGGCGACCATGGGCCCCACCTCCCGTGAGCGAGTGGGCAGAGGACTGTGGAACCAGCCGAGAGGAGGCACCGAGGGTCTGATGGTGGCTTTGCGTAGCGCGGTGACAAGAACCTGGCTCGGCCTGGGTATGAATCTCGGACCGGATTTGCCCCCGGGAGCTCTAGGCTACAAGAATCGATCCCCGGGTTCTAGGCTGGAGTTTTACCATATTTGTTCGGTTTTTGTTTGTTGTTCTTGTTATTTTCCCCGTTTAAGATAATATCTTGGTATGCATTAGATAACCAAGAAGGGATGTAAATGTTTGGTATGTTCCCCGGCACAGTGGGTGCGCTCGGGCAGATAAAGCGACGCATTTGCCTTGTAGGGCCGTTGGCTGCCCGTCCGCGGCTGCCGCGGGCAGATTATTTATTGTGACTGAGATGGCGCTCGCTGCTGCCACTCTGTGGCCGTCGCCGGGACCGGCGCCAACCTCAGCCCGCCTCTTGCAGCCTGGCGCGACTGCTGTGCGGGCCCCTCTGAGATTCCCCTGAAGGCAGGGGAAGGGGGGACGAAAGGGGACCTGAAGGGCAGTCTCCCAGGGTCTATTTGGCTGGGAAATCTCCCCGCCTCCGCCACCCCAGACTGAAGCTGGACGCCGGAACTGACTCGGGTCCTCCCCTCTCCCCCAACCCAGCACCATGGAGACTGGTTATACAGGCCGCCAGGCACGTCATGGCTGCTTCTGTCCAAACTGCGCGTCCCAAGGAGCCCTGGGGGCGCACGCCGGTTGGGGGAACGCGCTGGCTTTGAGATTCTGACATCGGAGAGGCCACTTGTAGTCCTGAGGCCTGCTGGCTTGGCTGGCCCTGAGGAGAACTGACTATGGCAAGGAAGGCGGATTTGGGCTCCAGGCGAGGACCTGGGATAGGCAGAGAGAGGCCTCACCTGTGTGCTGTTGGTTCTGGCCTGAGCGAGCGATCTGGAAGGTAGAAGGTGAGCCTTTAAGGGCCCCACACATCCCTGAAGGCCTTCCTCCAGCCTGGCAGAGTGTATGAGCTCAATGGGCAGCCCCGGGTAAGAGCTGAAGGCGTGACCCTCCTGGACATCCTGCCCCACTGGGAGAAGCTGAAAGGTAAGTTGGCTTTCTGCCTGGCTTTGACAGAGAATAGAGAGCTCTGGGCTGACCATTCCCACCCTCCAGGACAGGCTCTAGGTAGGGTGTGGAGCTTCTATTATTGCTTGAATGATTTCTCCCTTGTCAATCTCTTGGTCTCCCTAAAATGAATATATATGAATACATCATACATATGGAGAGAGAAGTAAATTGATAAAGTGGTTGGTGTAAAGATTTCAATTTAATATATTGTTTTTTCCACTTTAGTGCTTACAAAAGCTAGAAATATAGTGTTTTTCATCTCTGAACTGAATAATCAAATTCATTTATTTGCTGGGACAATTACTAGATGGAGAATCCAGGTCAAAGCCTAACAATAACAGTAGTAAACTGCCAGTAGCTCCAATACTGTGTAGGACATGGAGGAATGAAAGAGAAATTATAAATGTAAACATTTATCAACATCTGCAAACTGGTTACTTTAAATAATTTGCTTGAAATTACTGTTATTTGATGATTTTAAGATACAATAACCCAAACATGATTTTCTTGAAACACGGCTTTTAAAGAAAAATATCTCTTTTTATTTGTTTAGTTTTTGACTCTTGAGTATTTCATTTTTGCTTATTGGATTCTTTCCCTGAAGAAATCTGTGGGACATATGAAAATGTATCCTCTTCTGAATGACCCTTTATATGTAAAGAAAAACCTTTCCCTCTTTGGATTGATTAAAGTACAGGCACAAGGTTTCCTGGAAGCCTTTAAGAGTGCCATGGGCTCTGTGAAGGCTGCTGCCGCTGCTGCCGCTAGCCAAATCTTTTTCAGTTTTTTTATTTGGGGGGAAGGGAGGCCAGGAAAAAAATCAGAACGATAGAAAGAGATCAAGGAAGTCATTACCAGATTCCTAGGGGAGCACTGGATTGCCACCCCACTCCCCAAGTCCTGAACCCCATCATCCTGTATTGGCCAGGGTTTTCTAGATCTTAAAAGTAGCCTCCTGAAATCCAACCAAATAATGTCGTTTCTTCAATCTCCACAGAATTGAGGACTTTTAAAGCTAATTCAAGGAATTTTACAAGCCCAACAAACAGTCATAAAAATGCCATTAGACTGATACCACATTTTACAAAATGAGATTGATATGTATGCTGTAAAAGTGAGCTGTCTTGAAGGCACACCTCTCAGAAAAGAGAGAGCAACCCAGGACAGGCTTTTCCTGTCCTGTCTGGGAACTGCCAGGCCTGAGACCTTGGTAAAAGCAATTCAGGATTTCTGGAGCCTGTGAGAAAACTATTCCCATTCCCAGTCTGGAGCTACTGCCAGTGGCAGCCTCCGGAGTAGTCTTAGGAAGGGCAAGAAAGAGGACACGCCCCATGACAGTGCCAGCCGGGGGCGCCCCGGAAACCAAGCCCATTCAGTATTGTGCATCCTTGGGCCCCATGGAGCTGTTCTCTGTGCCCTGCTCCACCAGGGCCCTACATCTTCAGTACATCTTCAGTGCCTCTGGGATGAGGAGAGCGAGTTTGCATCTGGATTTTTCTGTCTCAGCTTCTAAGCAGTTCAGGTGGCTGCGGAGAGTTCCAGGGTGCTAGTCGAGGGTGGCAGTATGAGCCCAGTCTCAGCCTTTCTTCTGTAGGTCCTTTCCTGTGGAAACCTGTGGGTTCTGGCCTCTCTGTTCCCTGGGTTCAAAGACTGGGTACGAAGCTGGTGAGGATGCTTGCTTAGAGACCAAGTAGGCATGGGCCTTCACAGGGGAGCCCATCTGTCCCCCCAAAAGAGGTTGTTGCATGTGGGAGGCAGCGGCAGCAGGAGGAGCCTGTTTGGCCTTGTCCTGGTCAGTGTGGGTGAGCCTTTGGCTCTTTCTGCGAGGCCCAGACCTCTGGTAGAAATGAGGAGGGAATAAGGGGGTGCACCATTTCCAAGCCGGCCAATGAAAAACAGAGAGTGAAGCCCTGGCTCCTCAGACCTCCTACTCCAGCTCAAGACCCCACACCCTCCATTAGGGGGGCACAAGGGGAGGGGCAATTCAGGCCAGGCCTGGAGTGTAGGCCAGCAGGGACCAAAGCCACTGTGGTCGCCACTCCTCTTGGCGGCAGGATGGTCAAGTTTCCTGTTTAGAGGAGAAAAACCCAGCAAAATTCTACAAGGAAAAAAAAAAAGGATGGGGAGGGAGTAGCAGGAAAGAGCAAGCCTGACAGGCCTTTGAGGCGGCCTGGGCGATAGTGCTCCTATCCGGGTCTGATCTGCACGTCCCTGCCCAGGCCGGGCCGGCCGCTGGCGTTTGGGGAAAGAGCCGCGGGCTGGCTGTGCGCGCACATTAATCTGCTGGGCGGGAGGCGGGCGGCTGGCGGGCGGGCTGGGGGCTGTTTGTAACTTTGCTGCCTCGGTCGCCGCGGTCCCCGGGGAGCGGGCTCCGGCGCTCGCTCCCATTGGCCGCCGCCGCGTCAGCTGGTGCGATTTGCTGCTGTCGCTTTTGGCGTTCGGCCATCCAGAAACAAACCAGTTCGATGACTACTAATAGTTATAGCCAGATGTACTAATACACAACAAATCACAGTCCTGCGGAGGGGCGCGCAAATGAGTTCCTATTTTGTGAATCCCACTTTCCCCGGGAGCCTGCCCAGCGGCCAGGACTCCTTCTTGGGCCAGCTGCCCCTCTACCCGGCTGGCTATGACGCGCTGAGGCCCTTCCCGGCCTCATATGGGGCGTCGAGTCTCCCGGACAAGACGTACACCTCACCTTGTTTCTACCAACAGTCCAACTCGGTCCTGGCCTGCAACCGGGCGTCCTACGAGTACGGGGCCTCATGTTTCTATTCTGATAAGGACCTCAGTGGCGCCTCGCCCTCGGGCAGTGGCAAGCAGAGGGGCCCCGGGGACTATCTGCACTTTTCTCCCGAGCAGCAGTACAAACCCGACAGCAGCACCGTACAGGGCAAAGCCCTCCATGACGAAGGCACCGACCGGAAGTACACGAGCCCTGTTTACCCCTGGATGCAGCGGATGAACTCCTGCGCGGGTAAGGCATTTCCCTGCACCCCCACCCAAGACAGTGGAGGGAGAGGGGGAAGGAGGCAGGGAAAGAAGTAAGGAAGGAGATAGCGAAATTGGAAAGAGGAATAGAGAGAATGAAAGGAGGAAAGAATGAGCAAAGTTTCTTTGGCTTTTAAAAGTAGATTTTAAAAGAAGAAAACCCATTCCCAATGGGGCCGTCAGGCCAAGGCAGAGGAAAGGCAGGATGATAAGGTCCATGTAAGGTGACACTTTAGGGAGGATGGGGGAATCCCTGCCAAACTAGGAGAACTGTGACCAGGGCAACCTGAAGAGATAGGGAAGCAGGTTGGGAGGGAGAGCCCGCCCAGGCTGCACCCTATAACACTCTGCTCAGGTTCCCAGGTAGACAGGGCCTCCTGCACCTCCCAACCCCTCTCTTTTCTGCCCTTCAGAACCCTACATGGAGAGAGGGATCCATTTGGCGTCTTCTAGCATTTCTCTCCAAAGCCTTGGAGGGCCACATCCCCAGCTTCAGGACTTTTTCTCTCCTCCCTCCCCTCCTCCCCCTTCTACTCAACTGTTCTCTCTTAGCCAACTTCTGCCTCCTTCTGAGCCTGAAGCTCTGAGCCTCACACTTGGCTTGAGGAGATCCTTCTACCCTTTGGCACCAGAATAGACAGCCAACAGAGTCCTACATTGCAAGAAAGCCCAGACTGTTTATAGGTCCATCTCTTTGCCCTGGTTTCCAAAGACCCCACGGGGAATCCTCCCTCCCCCTTGGAACAGGACAGCCTGATATGGATTTTAGAAACAGTGTTTTGCTTTAAAATCCACCCCCATGGACCTCTGTGTTTTTCAAGTGGGTCATATAATTTGGGAGAATGTGCAAACATTCGAGAGAGCTAACCATATTTAACTTCCAAAAAGACGCGTTGTGTCCTGACATAGGTGGCCTCAGTAGCATCCCCACAGAGACCAGTGTGTGAATTCAGTGTCTACACTGCTAATAGAGATCCAGTCCCACCTACCCCAGATGCACATATACTACACGCCACAAAAATGATTCTGTTGTCCCAAATTACAAATGCCCATTCTATTATTTCATTTGCTATGGTTTTCTCACAAGTCAGAATTTTCAAAAACAGTATCTTCCCATCCCAAGTCGTTTTAGGTGGAAGACATCTGGATTGTTATGAAACAGTCTTCACCATTCGGCCTGCTTTCCACCCTAGATGTAGTGGGAGAGGCAGGAATGGAGGCAAAGTGGTTTCCAGCCCAGAGGCCCCTGGAGGGAGGCAAGGGACTCACTGGCTCGGCCCTACCGACCCTCGCTTACCGGCACCCGGCCATTTCTGCCTGCAGGTGCTGTGTACGGAAGCCACGGGCGCCGAGGCCGCCAGACCTACACGCGCTACCAGACCCTGGAGCTGGAAAAGGAGTTCCACTTCAACCGCTACCTGACACGGCGCCGCCGCATCGAGATCGCCAATGCGCTCTGCCTCACCGAGCGCCAGATCAAGATCTGGTTCCAGAACCGCCGCATGAAGTGGAAAAAGGAAAATAAACTCATCAATTCCACACAGCCCAGCGGGGAGGACTCTGAGGCAAAAGCGAGCGAGTAAATGCCCGCGGAGGGACCAGGCCAGCGCTGCAACCTCCTTTGGCTTTGCCCCCTTGCCCTTGCCTGCTTCCTAACTTTCTTCCCCTTGTGCTGCTATCGGGGGCTTTCACAGCTTCAGGGGAGCCTGAAGCTTTGCAAGCGCGAGAGTATTTATTACAAAAAAAAAAACCCCAAACCCCCTCACACATAGCCAGTGCCAGCGGTGGAGCGGCGCGCACTGTACACACACAGGCCTGCTCCCCAAGATTTCCCAAGTCAGCTCCGAGCTCCCAGAGTGTGCCCCGAATTTCTCCCCAGCTCCTGTGTTATCTCTTTCAAGCTCCTCGAGCTCAGAATGTGGAGTTGCTGGAGAAGAAAGAGCCCCAGGCCGTGCCCAGTCCAGTGTCTGGGCGTCTCCGCCTCAGTCCTGGGCGGTAAGCCCTGAAGGGCATCACTAAATCAGCTCAAGCCACTGGAAAGAGAGGAGGGCCTAAGGGCTGGGGCTCCAGACCTGCCTTGGCCCCTCAGGCTACCCCCCAAACAGGAAGAAGCTTGAGAAACAAAAGGGCCCCGACTGAGCCTGTTCTCTCCTGCCTGCGCACAACCGTCAGTGGAAAAGAAGCAGCCAACCAGCCGAGGCGAGCTAACCTGGGCGCGGGTGGAACGTTACAGCCCCGGGAGTGTCTGGGCTCCCGAAAGTTCCTGGCTCCGGATTCCAGCTCCCTGCCTCCGACAGCGCCGGTGCCACCAAGAAGCAGTTTTCAGCACCCAAGCCCCTCCAAGCTCAGGGCCATGGGTGCCACCAGAGTGCTGGCTTCCAAACGTGCCAGGGGCGCCTGCGACGCCCGGCCTCCAGCAGGGAGACCCTGCTTGCCTCCCAGCTATATTTGTGATTTACTTTCATCTTTTGTAGCCCAGAAAAATAACTACGGAGATACGAGGCACAACCATGAAATGCTTCCATTATCTCCTTCAATTTACTCCTGGAGGTCTAAGAAAGACCCCAATAACTCGGCCCACGGATTCCCAGCTCCCAAGCAGGCTCTGTGGCCGCAGGAAGCCTGGGCCCACTCGCTGGGTTCACAGAGAACCCTCCGACTTGGAGCCCGGCTGGCTCAAGGAATGGGACCTGGTGGTGAAGATTCTGCAAGTCAGAAACGTGAACAAATCAAATAGCAAACTAATAACACAACAACCGTATTTACAAGAAAGAAAAATCGACTCCAGTTATAAAAGTGTGTGGAATCTGACCTCGCCTAGGAGAAACACTACACAAAAGCTATCTTTAATAGACGCCTGTCATTTAAGAGCGGCAGGGACACTGTCCCTCTTGCACTCGCAAAAACAGAGCCGTAATTGTAGCTGCTGCTGCGGGCAGGATTTATTTCTCCAATTTGGCTAAATGGCCTCCTCCCCTTCCTTGAAGGTGTCATCTGTATTTTCAAAATTCAGAGCTGCAGGCAGGACGGCAGAACCGACCCCAACCTCCACACAAAAATAAGAGAGGCTGCAAAACGGGCAAATAAAGTTGTAAATAAATTCCAAGTCACCAGCTCCCCCTAATTCTCTGCATCCTCGCCGGGCGCGCGATCGGCAGCTGACGGCCTCACAATTGGTACATCCTAATGGAACTGCGAGGGAAATGCAATAATTTTGCCATAATGGGCTGTAACCTCAATTCGACCCCGGCCCTTGCAGTCCGGGGTCGGAAGCAGAGCGATGCTCCCTGCCTCCAGCGGGTGGCGCTCGAGTCCGACTGAACGGCGGCGGCGGGCGGCGGGCGCGCGCCTGGGGCGCGCGCGCCACCCCTCTCGCCTCCACCCAACTCCCCCATTAGTGCTCGAGTTTACCTCTAGAGGTCATCAGGCAGGATTTACGACTGGACAACAAAAGCACGTGATTCGAAGTCGTACCCCATATTTGGGTGCCTACGTAGGAGGGAACCAAGTACATGTCCCAGTCATTTCCATAATTCATCATAAATTGTGCAAGGGTGCTATAGACGCACAAACGACCGCGAGCCACAAATCAAGCACACATATCAAAAAACAAATGAGCTCTTATTTTGTAAACTCATTTTGCGGTCGCTATCCAAATGGCCCGGACTACCAGTTGCATAATTATGGAGATCATAGTTCCGTGAGCGAGCAATTCAGGGACTCGGCGAGCATGCACTCCGGCAGGTACGGCTACGGCTACAATGGCATGGATCTCAGCGTTGGCCGCTCGGGCTCCGGCCACTTTGGGTCCGGGGAGCGCGCCCGCAGCTACGCGGCCGGCGCCAGCGCAGCGCCCGCCGAGCCCAGGTACAGCCAGCCGGCCACGTCCACGCACTCGCCTCCGCCCGACCCGCTGCCCTGCTCCGCCGTGGCCCCCTCGCCCGGCAGCGACAGCCACCACGGCGGGAAAAACTCCCTGGGCAACTCCAGCGGCGCCTCGGCCAACGCCGGCAGCACCCACATCAGCAGCAGAGAGGGGGTTGGCACGGCGTCCGGAGCCGAGGAGGACGCCCCTGCCAGCAGCGAGCAGGCGAGCGCGCAGAACGAGCCGAGCCCGGCGCCGCCCGCTCAACCCCAGATCTACCCCTGGATGCGCAAGCTGCACATAAGTCATGGTAAAGCCAGCCTTTTTCTAACTCCGCGCGTCTGCGGGGGCGCGGCTCTCGGTCTCCCCTGTCTCCTTGCCGCCCTTTCTCCTGGTCTCTCCTAGTCTCTTCTCCCAGCCCTGCGGAGCCTCTCCCTGCCGGTCTCCCCCTGCCTCCATCCTTCCTCCGCTTCTCTGCAGCAACCTGCACTCGCAAGTAGCGGGGCAATGGGCCGGTGGCCAGGCAAGTTTGGACTTTAAAAAAGGTAGAAAGGAAAAAAAATCTGCCTTGAACCCCAGCGCCTCGGAACGCGCTCCAGGCTCAGGCCAGCCGAGCAGGGCGCAGAGAGGTAGAGGATGGCAGGCAGTAGGGGCCGTGAATCGGGCTTGTCAGGATGGATAATTTATGGGAAGGGCTAGGCCGGGGAAACAGCGTTACTAATTAGACCCCCGAAAAGAGGCTTGGGGTGAATAATTGAGGCGAAGGCCGGCGGGATTCTGAAGTTTGGGAGAAAGAGGGAGAGAGGGAAGGAGGGAAAGAGGAAAAAAAGAAAGAAAGAAAGCAGGCGCCCCAGGCGGATAGGCTGGAACTGGAGGCGGCTCATGGGGCTGGAACTTTAAGGGAGAGTGACCTGGAAGCCACTGTGGCACTCAGAAAAGGGCCGTGCTCCGGTGGTTTCCGAGAGGTGGGCAGCCTGGGAGGGCTGTGCCCCCTGCTTGGGGCTCCTGGGGCAGGGCCAGAGGCCACAGAAGGGCGAGGGAAAGCCTGGCGGTCCTCGGGGATGTTGTTCCAGCCTCAGATGGGCCGATTGTTCCCAGAGTCCAAACCGTATTGTTTTCTCTCTAGAAAGGAAGAGGGAAGGAAATTCGGGAGTGGCGGGTGGACAGAGAGGGAAGACTTGTTGAGCCTTTCACCTGGTTCCCCGAGCTCAGGACCCTGGCTCATCAGCTGGCAGACTTTGGGAGCCAGGGGCTGAGGAGTTGGTCGCTAAACCTCTGACTTTTCTGTTGCAGACAACATAGGCGGCCCGGAAGGCAAAAGGGCCAGGACGGCCTACACACGTTACCAGACCCTGGAGCTGGAGAAGGAGTTCCACTTCAACCGCTACCTGACCCGCCGAAGAAGGATTGAAATAGCACATGCTCTTTGCCTCTCCGAGAGACAAATTAAAATCTGGTTCCAAAACCGGAGAATGAAGTGGAAAAAAGATAATAAGCTGAAAAGCATGAGCATGGCGGCGGCAGGAGGGGCCTTCCGCCCCTGAGCATTTGAGCATTTAAAGTACTGAGCAGTATTAGCGAATCCTGCTTAGTGTCAGTACTAAGGTGACTTTCTGAAACTCCCTTGTGTTCCTTCTGTGAAGAAGCCCTGTTCTCGTTGCCCTAATTCATCTTTTAATCATGAGCCTGTTTATTGCCATTATAGCGCCTGTATAAGTAGAGCTGCTTTCTGTTCATCTCTTTGTCCTGAATGGCTTTGTCTTGAAAAAAAAAATAGATGTTTTAACTTATTTATATGAAGCAAGCTGTGTTACTTGAAGTAACTGTAACAAAAAAGAAAAGAGAAAAAACACACAGAAAAGTTCCCCTTCAACCTCGTTTAGTGCCAATGTTGTGTGTTGCACTCAAGTTGTTTTAACTGTGCATGTGCGTGGAAGTGTTCCTGTCTCAATAGCTCCAAGCTGTTAAAGATATTTTTATTCAAACTACCTATATTCCTTGTGTAATTAATGCTGTTGTAGAGGTGACTTAATGAGACACAACTTAACTTGTTCGACGTGTAGTGACTAGTGACTCTGTGACGAAAACTGTGACTCCAAGCGGTGTGTCCCTGCGTGCCTTTGTAGGACCCTTTGCACGAACTCTGGAAGTGGCTCTTATAAGCGCAGCTTCAGTGATGTATGTTTTTGTGAACAAAGTTACAAATATTGTCCAAGTCTGGCTGTTTAAGCAAACTGTGATCAGCTTTTTTTTGGGGGGGGGGATTTGTTTTTAAGGAAAAATACTGACTGGAAACAAAAATAAACTTTCTATTGTAAGTTCTCTTGGTCTGTTTGTGCCAAATAGTAAGCGGCTCCTTCTGCTTTTCTGTCTGCCTGTCTGTCTGTCTGTCTAGTCTTGGGAGCTGGTAAGTCTGAGGCTCACCTGAGCAGCCTGCCTGTGCATGGAGGCCTCAGACCAACAGCCTGACCCTCTGCCTCCCTAAGTCTGACCCAACAGAAAGGTTGGAGCAGAAAGTAGGAAAAGCTATAGGCAGTTCCAAAATCTATCCACCTTGCCAATCTCTGAGGAAACCAAGTTAACTTTCTGGGTACAAAAAGAGAGTAGAAGAGAAGGAAAACAGCAGAAAAAGCCCAGGGCATTGTTAGCCACCTTCGGGGCCCACACAGATCCTCTTTCCTAAGGCTGTCCTAGGCCTCTACTTGCTGTAAAGAGTTCTGTGCCAGGTTGTGGACCACAAACCCTTGCCCCTAAACAACCCCATTGCCCCTTCCCAACTTCTCACCCTGAACCCAGTTGACTTCTTTTGCTACAATTAATTTGCTACAAATGGAAGGTACTTACCCCATCCTAGCTTGATTGGGAAACTCCTCAGAGCTGCTAAGCGCAACTAGAGATTTGCACATTTACCGACCGCTTACACTGATGCCGTCTTTCCTTTTAAAAGTTATAAAACAGTAAACTTTATAAGCCCCAGTTCCGGCTATATGACATTTGGGTGCCAAATGAATAGGGTTTTGTCTATGAATTAGATCGTAAAATCATCCATAGCACAGACAGATCGGCTCACTGGCTATAAAACGTCACGTGGGGCCATTAAAGTAAGTTTTATGGTTTTGGGGAGTTGACATCCAACATTATATACCACATAACATATAATCTCACTGACGCTGGACTCCATTTGACTCTTTTGCAGGCTACGTGTGCTGCCTGGTCATTCAAATTGTCAATTTTAGGTCCAGAAGTGTCCAAACCACAAGTTCTCAAAACTCTCTGAAAAATGGCTCCCTCCGAGTTAAGGTAAGCTCGCCTTCTGAGCGCTTTCAAGTTTATTTGTACTCTGAAAACTTTAGCATTTCTCTCTCTCTCTCTCTCTCTCTCTCTCTCTCTCTCTCTCTCTCCTTCTCTCCCTCTCCTTCCTTCAATAACTCTGAGAGCATATTAGAATTTAAAGTGGGAGGGCACACTTGTCCTCTGCTCAATTTGCAGCACCAAGGTCTAGTTTTGCGAAGGCAGCACGGTGAGCAGAGCCTGTGGCCGTCGCATCCCCAGGCCTAACTTTAATTGCTGCACAACCGCGGATGTTAATGACTTCCGTTGCTCCTGCCGGCGTGCAAAAAAGATGATTTTGTGTGCGAATGGGCCTGTGTGTGTAGACTTGGCAGGGGACCCCCTCATTCCAGGCCCGGGTGGGTCCCGGCTCTTTGGGGGTCGAGGAGTCCCGGGGTGGGGGCTGGGAGACAGTGGGGCGCCGGCTGCGGGCGCCGGAGCTGCTCTCGGGAGTTTGAAAGAAAGGCCAGGGAGGGCCGAGGAGGACTCTGGCGGAATTCCTTACGGGGCTGTGGCAATATGTCTTCGCTGGCCAGGGTCATTTGGCAGGACTGAATTGAGGCGGCCTTCGGGGCCAGGTTTCAGGCTGGTTCTGGAAAGCAGGAGGGTGGCAGAGGCTGGCGAGGCGCGGGCTGCACCTCCAGGCTGGGTCCCTGGGTTTCGAGGCCGAGACCAAGCTGCTAGTACCCGTAGCACTCTGGGGACCGAGGGTCCCCATCCGAGGAGAGCAGCACCCGCTATCCCGCACCCAGGCCCAGGCCCTGAACCTTGTTTGCCTGCACATTCTTTTTATTTCGCTGGGACAGTTCTCACCCGCCTGTGAGTCTGAAGCAATAAAGTTTATGGCCGGATTTAACTTTAATCTTTGTATCCCCAGGCTAATTGAAAGGGGTTAAAGTACTTTCTTTTCTTCCGGCCTGCCTTTCTTCTGCCTCTCTTCTTTTCCTTTTCCTCTCCTTCTTTGTAGAATTAAAACATCTATGCATAGGACCCTCAAAAGGCAAGTTAGGTGTCCCCCTAGATAGCACTAAAGATTAGAGAAATTTACTCTTACTCAACACAGAAAATCTCTCTTCCAAACTGTGTCCTAAAGTTTGGGGGGAAATCGAGGTGTCTTCAATGACCAACTTAAAAGTCCCCACAGCCATTAAGTTGTTTTTCCTGACACATCATAAAGCCTAGTTTAGGAAAGAAAGTGGTCGTTTGTCAGTAGGAGATTTCCTACTCTCTTTTGTTAGTTGCTTTTTCTGTTTGATCTCAGGAAATTTACATAATCTATGATTTCCAAAACAGTCTCCAAAATTGCACCAAGGAGTAAAGTAAGGCGAAATAAATTTTTCCTGGGTACAATTCTATCTTGGCCCCAGCTACCCTTCTGCTCCCAGGCCCCCATATTCTTCAGTGGCAAAGCACACCAAGTGACTGGGGACATTGTGGCAGTTCTGGGGTCTTTTGAGGGGATATCCACAAGGGACCTTGCAGATTTCCCCCAATCCTTTTTGAGAAGTTAAGGCAAATCTCAAACTGCATTGACAAACAACAAAGAATGGGATCTGCTATTTTCTTGAGAGCTAGGTAGTTTCCTGCAGGTACTCATTAGTATAGATATTTACCAAGTGCTTAAAGAAAAATGTTTTTAAAATTTAGATTTGGAATTTCTACAAACTTTATCGTGCAAAGGTGATGATCTACACTCAGAATAAATCCAAAAGATGTCCTTAAAGTCAGAAATTCCAAAATCAAAACTTCAAAAGTTTTGTTTTGAGAAATTAAAACCCTCCATTAAGTCTTACTTTTCATAAATAGTGTGGTAAGATGAAGAAGTGAATTTTGGTATTTCTGCACTCAGGAAGAGGTGTCCACATCTTATAGGAACCAGAATAAAAATTCTAAATGTGTGGGTTCTGTCTTATGTGTCTGCAAGAGTTCTGGATTTGTTATTTTGCTGCTCTGAGTTTGGGGACCTTTGTTGGAAAACATTGGGTTTTGGCTCCACTTTGGTCATTCATTTGGTGATCTTGCTTAAGTGATTTCTTGGTGATTGAGATTAGATGCGGAAGAAAAGAGTCCTAGAGATGCTGGCAGTTTCCTCTGAGTATCTTGGGTGAAAAAAGTGTCCAATTCTACCTGAGGCTGAGTTGTTGGAATCATATCCAACATCATAAAACACAGATAATCTCTCCTGAAATTTTAAAAAAATACAGGCCATAAATATTGTCAGCTTACTCATTTCTGTCTGTGTTAATCTTCACAAAACTTGAAGAGAATTTAAGAGTGCACATCAGCCTATATGGGGTTTAATGACTTGTAAGAAATACAGCATCCAGTCAGTCCTAGGTGAATGTTATTGGAGGGATTTTTTTCTTTCCTCCTATTTTAATAGGGTGCATACTAAAGAAATTATCTGCTTTCTGCTCATTTTGTAGATAAGTTACTTCTTCTTATGCATCCTTTTGCACTGTTTCTGCAGAGGAACTAACTTTTGAAAAATCACTGTCACTGAGAGCTTTATGAGGACACCCAGCCTCAGCCGGTGGCTGAAGTGTGATTCTGTGCTCCTCCTCATCTTGTAAAAGGAGAAGGCAGCGGAAATATGCAGGGGCTCCTTTGTTTCCACAAGACTAAGAGACAATATTTCCTGAACTGTAAATATAATAGGAAGCTTCTGGTCACACTCACTTGGGGTTTGTTAGGGTTTCCATGGTCTAATTTCACAACATTATGCCAAGATTCCCTTTCTCTCATGCACTTTCCCCTGCTGCATTGTTGGCGGCTCTGGGAGAGCAAGACAGAATTTTCTCCCAGAAGCAGTTATGTTCATTTGTTGAGATCTAGAGTTCCAAATAATCACATCCTAAAAGATGGCCTATTAAGGGGGAAAACAATCCTTTTAGCTTGAAAGATGCCTTTAGTGTCTCTCCTGCCTTGGCTGAGGATCTGCCGATGGCATGCCCACCTTGGAGAGGGCAGAGTATTGTGAGCTCCATCCCTTTGGCTTCTAAGGGGAATTCCCTTTCAGCCAATGATAAAACTATAAGTGGGGCTCCCAGGCAAGGTTGAGGGGGTCAGCCTCGACTCCTAGCACATATGGGAGTGGATCCACAGTCTTAGCCATTCTAAGCCCCACCACTGGAGGATCAGATAGGTTTGTTTTGTTTGGTGTTTTGCACAAAGAGATTTGTCCTTCTCCCACCAGATCTCTTCTCCACAAACCAGTCTTTTCAATAATAATATCTGTTATGAAGGTTATTAGGTAATTATTGCGATTTTGTGAAGCAGCCCTTGCTGGAGGTGAAGTCTGTCATCGCCTAACAAATGATGCCCATGCAGTTCACTGCCGGGTTAAGTAAATGCAGAGAAGATAAATCTGCACACCCTAGGAATCGCCAGCAGAGCACGCTTTAGTACAAGTTCACAATCAACTTGCCTGCCTGGGCCAGCTCTCCCTACAATTAGGGCTGTGTCTTTATCTTTAAAGAAAAAAGTCTTCACTTCTCATTGCTGGCTTTCCCCCATCTTTTTTCTTTCATTTTTTTGCAAGATTCTTTTGTATTCCAAATTTTCATTGTTAGTGGAATCATAAGTGATTTCCATTTACTCTAGTTCCTATCTATGTGCTGACAAAAAGAAGTAAGAGGCTAATTTAACAGGAAATACAATCATGAACACATAAAAATATCCAGCTCATCCTCTAATTCCAAAGGCTGTGGCAGAAGCAGGGCATCCTGAGATCCTCAGGACCTCTTCCCCCTGAATGAAGAAGCTCAGCTTTGTGTATCTTTGTGGTTAGTGTGTTACAACTACGGGTCAAAAAGTTGAGGGTCAAAAG